TAATATTCTTTAAAAGTCTTGTTTGGGCCAGCAGGTGGTGTGGTGGTTAGGATGCTAGATCCCACATGGCCAGCTGTGCAGTTTTAAGTCTCAAACCTGGAGGCTTGATAAAAATGCCCAGGGTGTGTGAGTGCGTGCCCCAAATCCCATGAGAATGAAGGAAAAGGGACTGCAGTGTGGCCATCTGCCCCAGAGGATGAGTTCTCACTTTCCTTCTCTCTGTTTCTCTCCAACAAACATACCCTATGACAAAAATATAACCAAAAAAAAGTCTTAAGTTTAACAAAAATACTTCATGAATAAAAATCCATGGAATAATTATATACCACTAGAGTCTTAAGGCCAGAGAGAAATAAGACTTAGGAAAGATAAGCAGAGGAAGGAAGGACAGTGCCTGGAAAAGTTAACAGATTCTGACAGGGATACTGAGTACAACAGGTAGAGTTCCAGGGGGTAGGGAAGTGGAGGCCCAGAAAATAAGATATTAAAGGAAGAAAAGTACATCTTCCTGCATGTGTAGGGAGGTGGTAGGTGTATTTTTGTTTTGTTTTGTTTTGTCTTAAGACAGAGTATGGCTGTTATGATCCTCCTCTCTCTTCTCCTGAGTAGCTGGGACCACAGGCATATACCACTAACTATGCTTTCCTTGCTGCTTCAGACAGGGTCTTGTTATATTGCCCACTTGGCTGTGAGCTCCTCAGCCTCTCCAAGAGCTGGGAATATAGGCACGTGCCCCTATGCCCAATTTTACAGCGAGCCAGGAATCGAACCGGGCCTCATTGCCAAGCAGTAACATTCAGGGTACACTACCGTGCTGGGCCCCTATTGCCACCTTTTTGCCTAGGATCATGTTTATTTATAATTACATACTAAACTAAAAGCTAGTATTCTTTAAGATTCCCACATAATGAAAACATTAAAAAATAGTATCTATCACCATAAAGAGAGACAACTGGGGACTGGCAGGTGGCATGGGAATTAAAGGCGCTGGGCTCCCACATGGCTGACTGTGGTTTGGGTCTTGAACCTGGTGACTTGCTCTCTCACTTTCCCTCTCTCTTTACCTCTCTCTCTCCCTCTCTCTCTGTCTCTCTCTCTCTAATCAAATTGAAAAATACAATAAATAAAAGTTAAACTAATTTTTTAAAAAAAAAGAGTGAGATGACTGTAAAAACAGATTCACCTTCTTTTCTGAAGAGAAAATCTTTGCAAAAATAATAATTGAGGTACAGACAACTAGGATGTGTTTTAAACCACAAATCTCAGCCAATTTTGTCTTAGAGAATTCTCTCTTGATTATATAGCAAAATAATTGACATAGATTCTACAAATCAAAAGTTCTTTTTTTTTTTTTTTAAAGGGGTTTTTACTTTAGTTTTACTTTAGGGCGCATGCACTTACCAGAAAGAGAGACAGAAAGTGAGAAATCACCCCCCAGGGAGGACGGCCATACCACATTCCCTTCTCCTCCATTCTCCTCTTGGGATCTTGGGCATGCACGCACACATGCCTGGTGTGAGTTTAAGCCACTAGGTCTGGGACTCGAACCGCGGTCGACTTACATGGGAGTCCAGTGACATAGCCATTATGCTAACTGCTGGTCCCTACACTGTATATCTTTACTCAGATTCACCTCCTGTCACCATTTTACCCATTTGCCTTATCTTTTTCTCTTTGTACCCATACATACACGTGCAGTTTTTTTCTGAATCATTTGATGGTAGGTTACATATGTCATGGCCCTTTATTACTAAACACTTCTTAGGGTATATTCTAAGGATATGAATATTCTCATAAAACTGCTGTATTGTTACCAGGTTTGGTAAATTGTACATTTAAACAATTTTTCTCTAATTGTCCATTTTGTCAATTGACCCAACAATGTCCTTTATCACATTTTCCCAGCCAGGATAGGTCAGCTAGGTACTATTTAGTTTTTTAAGTCTTTTAAATCTTCTTTATTCTAGTCCTTTTCTTCAGCTTTTGTCTTACATAACATTTACATTTTGAAGAATACAAAGATTTTTAAAAATAGAACATCCCTTATTTGGAGTTTGTTTGATATCCCCTCATTATCGGATTCACATTACTCATGTCCTGGCTGGAACACAGTACTACATTAATGATGTGTTCTTCTCTAGGTATTATGGCTGGTCCCTCTACCCTTCTTCAGTGATGTTAATTTTAATAATCAGGCCAAGGTGTCTAAGTTTCCCACTTTATAATTACTAATTTTTCCTTCTCAATACTTGGGAGATACAATTACTAGTTATTTTTCTTGCACTTTAAAACCATGCAAATATCATGGCTCCTGTCACAAATGCCCTTGGATTTAGTATCCTTTGATGATTCCATTCCTAAAATGATGAATGGAGAATAGTGATTTGCCAACTCCAGCACTCCAGCATTTACCAGTTGGCACTTGGAGTTTTCAAGAATTCATTTTCCTTTCAGTGGTTTACAGTTCATTACTGCACTTAATTATTTTATAATTCAAATTGACCCAGATTTAGCCAGTGGGAGTTCTTTCAAGTTGGCTCCTGTGCTCTTGTGATGAGTCACCATCACATTCTGGGGGCTCTTCTTTCCTTATTAGATTTCTAGCATTATATGGTATCATGGGCTTTTCTTCCACATAACCTGCTCTAGTCCTAGAATAAGTCATTTTTCCAAGGAACTCTTGTTCCTTTTAGTGGGAAACAGTAGTAGAGACAAAGATCTGGGTATTATGCATGCTTACTGCTGCTGAGGTATTGTTGATTCTTGTCCTTTTCCGCTAAGGAATATGCATGTGTGTGTATAAATTTATGCACATATAAATATACGTGGGGTCATCGAAAGTTTATGGATAATATGTTAGGAAAAAACCACGCATGAATTTCAAGATGTCTGTACAACAAAATAAATTTGTCATTCAATTTTTCTATGAACTTTTTAAAATACTCTCATATATATGTGTGTGTGTGTATGCATATACATGCATACAAGGCCACGTACACATGCATGTAATGCATACATATGCATATATTTAAAATCATTAAGTCCATATTGAAAACTTGACTTGCAATCTATTTGCATGGGTTTCTTCTGTCTTCCCTCATTTGATCACTGTGTATCTCCCCATTTCTTCAGTAAGAACTCTGATTCCCAAGAATATCAACTCATTCTTTTAATCCATGATACACCTAAAATTGTTTCTTTTGTCCACACTAGACTCAAAAAAAAAAAAATCTAAAATGAGTTCAGTATGTGCAACTATCCATTCACCCCTTTACATACCATCTTACCCAAAGGAATATATACAGTCAAAACATTGTGTGTATAAATTACTTGGATTACGTCTTTCTTTTTCCTTCCTTCCTTCCTTGTGGCACTTACGTGAAATGTAACTAGGTTCACTTTTTCTTAAAATAATTATTATTTATTTATATTTATATTTATATGTATATATACGAGGAACAGAGGAAGAGAGAAAGTGAGAAAACAAGTTGCGAGGTCCAGGACTCAAACCACAGTCAGTCATGTGGGAGTCCAGCACTCTTAACCACCATGCCACCTGCCAGCCCCATGGGTTCATTCATCTCAGTATGCTTTCAGTTTGAGGTCTGCCCCCCTCGTTCTCACCCTTAATAATTAAGTGGTTTTTTACATATAGAAAATTTGACATATCAAAAGTAAAAACTACAGGGAACCAGCAGTTAGCGTAATGGCTATGTCGCTGGACTCCCATGTAGTCGACCGCGGTTCGTGTCCCGGACCCGGTGGCTTAGAACTCACGCCGGGCGCGTGTGCGTGCGTGCCCAAGATCCTGAGAGGAGAATGGAGGAGAAGGGATTGCGGCGTGACCATCCCCCCTGGGGGGTGATTTCTCGCTTTCTGTCTCTATGTCTCTCTCTGTCTGTCTGGCGAGCGCACGCGCCCTACAGTGAAAATCTCTCAAAAAAAAAAGAAAAAAAAAATTTAAAAAAAAAAAAAAAAAGTAAAAACTACATATAAAAAGCTACACTAAGAGAACTTACACTTCCTCCCATATCCTTTCTGCTGTAAGTCTCGCACCTCTTGTAAATAACCAACTTCATTATTTTCAAATTTAATCTTCTTTTGTTTCTTTTTGTAAAGATAATCAGATAACAGATATGCTTTCTTATTTCCCTTCCAGTCTTACACAAAAAATAGTATATTAAATATGCTTTTTTGCACCTAACAATATCTCTGGAAGTTGCTCTATATTAACTCACAAAAATCTCTTTTTTTTCCTTTTAGTGATATAGTTAGTACTTCATTACATGCCCATACCATAGTGTATTTTAATTAATCTCCCATTCTTAGATGGTTAGAGGTTTTCCAATATTATGCAATAAACAAGTAATACTGCAATGACTAACTTTATCTCTAAATAAATGTATTTTTGGACTAATAGAGATGTACTTTCCAGACAAACCACTAAAAGTGGGAATGCCAGGTGGAAGAGTAAACACACATCAAGTTTTCTTAATCTATCTTAATTCTTCTTTGTATGAGTTGGAAAATGCTACAGTTGGATTCAAACTTAGTTGGTAATATATTATGCCTTGCAAGTTTCAAAGCATCACTATGGATTTCAGATGCTAGCTACATGTAATATTTTTTTTTTTTTTAAATTTTGCCACAGGTCATGTGCACTCATGTGCAGGGACAGGGAGGGAGCATCCCGTCCATGCGAAAGGTCATGCAACTACCCCTTCTCCATTTCTCCCTCTTTGGGATTGTATGTATACATGTACACATGTCCAGCATGTTTTTTAAACAAGGGTCTGGGACTCAAACTGCAGTTGGCCACATGGGATCTAGCTCTCCTAGCCACTAATCAAGGGGTGGCCTACTACATGTAAATTTATGAGGCTAGCTAGAACTCACTTCTGACATGCCTACCAACCCTGAATATTTTATATTTGTTTGGTATTTTACAAACTTTTAGAGAAAGGCATTACAAAGAAAAGTAAGTTATTTTAACTACTTACTGAGTGGTGTTGTGTCAGGAGGCGGAAAATTCTCAGTAAAGTTGACATTACATAGATCTGTGCTACAGCAGCAGAAACGGTATGTCCCATTCTGAATTGAGGGAGGGGTGGTAGTTACTACACATTCTTCATAGTGACACTCCTGGGGATCTCCAATGTGAGACCAACATCCTACAAATCAGTATTAATATCAATAGGTTAAGAGGCAATATGAAAGAAAACTAAAAACAAACAACAGACTAAGAAATAACTGCAACAAAGGTGAGAGTAGGTACATATAAATATAAAACAGTTTAGCAAATCAATAGGAAACACATTTTTAAAAAACAGAAAGATGGCAAAGATATTTCATGAAAAGAAAAGAGCCATCAACAAAATGTTTAACTGATATATTAACCTGAGAATTATTACAGCAACAGTAAATTTTATGTTTTTAATTAAATGATCATATGTTTAAAAAACATAATAATATATAATCATAATAAGGATCTAGTAACATGGATACTCTCATATAATGCTGGAGGGAATGTAAATGGATAGTATTTTTTGAAAATCACATAGAAATTTTTATCCAGTACCTTTACTAATTTTTTTTAAAAAAATCTGATAATTCTACATCAAGAAATTTATTTCAAAACAACAACATTCCATCATTTATGTTCAAAGTTGTTCACCAAAAGCATTATATATATTAAGCATATACAACATATTATAGTGAAAACAACATAATGTCCAACAATAGTGATAAATGATGAAATATTATGTAGAAGTCAAAATGTTTCAGATAATATTAAAGACATGGAAAAATGCTCATGATATAAATAAGGTGGGAAAAACAAGGTATGAGTTGTTTACATGGTATTATCCTAACTTTGAAAAAAAGTACACACTCATTAACATAGTGGTATGAAGAAAACACACTTAAAGGGGATAAACTATTGGATTGTCAGAAAGGTCATGACACATTTTTCCAAAGAAAAACAGAAAAATATGTCATGACTTTTCTGACAACTCAGTGATATATTAAAAATATTTCTTAGGAGTAAGAAATGATAGATTTTTATCTTTCTCTATCATTTTCTGTATATTCCAAACCTCATACAATGAGCATGTAGTTACAAAGATGTCATTATGGTAATTAAGCTAAAAATAAATTATCTTTTATAAATTTGAGCCTTTTGGGTAAATTTATAGTAGGGTATGAATTTGTGTAATTTAATGTTTTTCTGAAGAAAATTTTAAACTACTTCCATGTCTTCTTAAGATAAAGTTCAAGGGGACCAGCAGTTAGCATAATGGCTATGTTGCTGGACTCCCATGTAGTCGACCACAGTTCGAGTCCTAGACCTGGTGGCTTAGACTCACACCAGGTGTGTGTGTATGTATGCCCAAGATCTTGATAGGAGAATGGAGGAGAGGGGATTGCAGTGTGGCCAAATGACCCCCTGGGGGGTGATTTCTCACTTTCTGTCTCTCTGTCTCTGTCTTTCTGGAAAGCACATGCATCCTATAGCAAAAACCTCTCGAAAAAAAATTTTAAAAAGTTCCTTTGTATAAAACACAGTCATTTTATGTAAGAAAAGTATTACTTGCCTTGTTTTACAAGATTTATGTCCCCTTTTGATTTCTCCCAAAGGCCATAGCAGGTACTACCTTTTGAGCATAATATTGTTCCATTTTCATGAGAGATTCGACTCTCACCTATTCCAAGATCTTGTTGATATGGATCTTTAAATGCACATAGCCGTTCTTGATTCTGGGAAGCTAAAATAAAGGAAAGGCAAATTACTTTTATAATAATTTTTGCAAAATATCATTATACAAAGTCTTACTCTTATCTGAACATTATAGATTTCTGTACTAAATGCCTTGAATTCAAATACTTGAATAAATTTGTAATTTTACATTTATTCAATAACTTTCTTCTTCTCATAACTAATTTGCAACCTCCAAACAAGCAAATTTTAAAGGTTTCCTGAAATCAATCCCAATTTACTCAAATTATTCTTGCTACCCTTTTTCCTATTAATAATTCTAGTATCTAAATAACAGAAATATCATCAAAGAAAAAGTTCATGCCTAAATTATCAGACCTTCACAAGAAATAAACAAACCTAAAGGGATAAATAGCTATGGGAAATTCTACAGTATTCACTTTTTTTTAAAAGAAACATCTTAGGGGCCAGCAGGTGGCGTAGTGGTTAAGGCGGCTGGACTCCCACATAGCTGACTGTGGTTCAAGTCCCAGACCTGGCAGCTTGCCTTTTCACATGCATTCTCTCTCTCTCTCTCTGGTCAACTTCAAAATAAAATAAAATAAAATAATAACAATGAATAAAGTTAGATAGTTCTTTTTAAAAAAGAAAAGAAACATCTTAGAACAATTGAGTTAGGGATATAATGCTTTTTTGGGGGGGGGGGGAAAGGTTTTTGCTATAGGGCACATGCGTTTGCCAGACAGACAGAGAGAAACAGAGAGATAGAAAGCGAGAAAGCCATGCCACAATCCCTTCTCCTCTATTCTCCTCTCGGGATCTTGGGCATGCACGCACACGGGCCCAGCGTGAGTTAAAGCCACCGAGTCTGGGACTTGAACCACGGTCAACTACGTGGGAGTCCAGCGACATAGCCATTACGCTAACTGCTGGTCCCGGGATACAAGCATTTTTTAAAGAATTATTTTATTATAATTTTATTGAACTTTATTATTTATTTATTTATTTAAATTTGAACAGAGGGAGAGGGAGAGAAGTGAGAAAGCAAACCGGCAGGTCCGGGACTTGAACCATAGTAGGCCATGCAGGAGTCCAGCACCCTCAACCACCACACCACCCGCTGGCCCCTACAGTATTCACTTTTATCATATTTTACACTCAGCTGTAAAAGTTACATTTTTAGGCATGATAAAGTAGGAATGCTGAGTAACTACAAATGGGTACATGGTTTCTTTTTGGTATGATGCATATGTTCCAAAATTAGATTGTGGCAATGTTGTACAACTCCATAAATTTATCACTGAAGACCAGCTGAAGTGGTGCAGGTAGCAGGGCACCACACTACCATGTTAGAAGCTATATGGAAGACCTGGGTTTCAGATCCTGGGTTAACCTGACACTGTCTGATGTGTGCTCCTGGCTGGCTAGAAGGCTAAGGGAAGGGATCTAAGTAATGATGCCCTGTCAAGGGTATCTGTTTGTCTGTACCTGCCAATTTCTTTCTCTATCATCAAAGAAATAAACTTTCAAAAATCAAATAGTTTGTTTAAAATGAGTGAATTTCATGACATATAAATTATAACTTAATAAATCTATTTTGTTTTGATTTTTAGGTTTTTGTCATAGGGCAAGTGTGCTTGCCAGAGAGACAGAGAGAGGGAAAGTGAGAAATCACCGCCCCCACTCCGCCCCACCAGGGGTATGGTCAAACTACAATCCCTTCTCTTCCATTATCCTCTTGGGATTTGTGCCCGGTGTGATTTTCAAGCTGCTAGATCTGGGGTTTGAACCACAGTTGTCCATGAGGGAGTCCAGTGCCTTAACCACTACACTACCTGTTGGCTCCCAAATAATCTGTTTTTAAAAACTAAGACTACTGGGGACCAGCAGATGGCATAATGGTTATGTTGCTTGACTCCCAGGTACTCAAACACGGTTCGAGTCCCAGACCTGGCTTACAACTCATGTGGTGTGTGTGCATGCATATTCAGAATCCCAAGAGGAGAATGGAGGAGAAAGGATTGCAGTGTGGCTACCCCCTGGTTAGGTGGTTTCGCACTTTCTCTTTCTGTCTCCCTCGGTCTCTCTGGAGAATGCATACACCTTAAAGCAAAAATCTCTCTTAAATAAAATAAGACTACCAGTGAGCAAAAGGAAGTGGCTTTATATCATTTCAAATATCAATATAAATTCCCAAGATGCCATTATGAAGGTAGTAGCTGTAGAAAATGTCAGTGTTATTTTGAAGATCAACAAAAGATAAACAAATTTGCACAGAATATGAGTAGAATCACAGAACTAAAAGAAGAAATAGAAGTAAAACAAGAATTTATAGAGATTCTTGTGATGACATTATGTTTGCACATGATGCCTTCATTAATGATACCTATCAAATTGGTGATGTTTTCATTGGCCATTCTCAAAAAGAAATGTAAGAAATGTTAGAAGAAGCAAAGAAAATTTTTCAAAAGAAATAGATACTTTAGAATCCAGAGTGGAATCAGTTCAGCACATGTTAGCAGGTTTCAAAGTTCAGTAAAATGCAAAATTTGGAAGCTACATAAACCATGAAGCTGATGAAAGTTAACATTTTATAATACTTTTTAAAATTTGCTTAATAAACTTGAATGTTGTTTAATATGTTTGTTTCCCTTCTTTAAATGACATGGAAAGGAAAACTTTCTTTTTTAAAATTGTCACTTATTGAGGCCATCAGATTTCTGTTTTTCTTTTTCTTTTCTTCTTTTTTGGCCAGAGGGCATGTGCACTGACCAGAGCGAGAGGAACTGGGGGAAGGAAGAAAGGCAGCACTACCCAGAGGGGTGCAGTTGCACTTCAACCATATTTTCCCTTCATTCCTCTTCCTGTCATGATTTTGGGCACACATATCAGGCATGCATTTAAGGCCTCCAGGATTGGAATTTGAACCTGCAGTCAGACACATAGGATCTGGCTCCCTAAACCACTGTGCTACTGTGCCAGCCCTTTATTTGTTTTCCTAAAGTAGACTTTCCTGATACCAGCAGATGATGTAATAGTTACATTGCTGGACTCCCACATGGCCAACCGTAGTTCAAGTCCCAGACCGATGACTTCAAACTCACACCAGGCATATGTGTGTGCATGCCCAAAATACCAAGAGGAGAATAGAGGAGAGGGGATTGTGGCATGGCCATTTTCACACACACACTCCCCCCGGGGGTAGTAATTTCTCGCTGTCTCTCTCACTCTGTCACTCCTGTGAGTGCATGGCCCTATAGCAAAAATACCGCTCTTAAAAAAAAATAAAAAAAGAATTTCTTAATGTATTCTACTAGCAGGCTAATAGTCTAATGTACTTGGCCAGTATATTTCTCATAGGCTTCTAATCTATTCCTTAATTATAGGTGTGTAAATAGTTGGTATGGCTTAATTCATGAACACCTTAGCACTGGAGATAATTCATTAAAATAAAGTTTCTGAATAAAACAAAGAACTAAATTCTGGAAAAGAAATAAGAGAGTCAAAAACTGTGTGCTCAAGGCAATTTAACCACACAGCCCTGGCAAATTTATTACAACAGAAAGTACCTTCATAGTATTTGGCTAGACAACAGTGTATTCACAAGTAGGTAATACAGAATTCTGGCCCTCAAGCATCTTACATGTATATTTGGAGAGACCAAATCACAGGTAGTAGTTAGTAAGGGGGAAAAAAAAGCATGTCTAGATTTGTACATTTTAAAATCACTTCAGGAATCTTCTAGAAAATTATTCACTATTATCAACTAAAGGGCCAGAAAAGCTCTCTTGATGCAGCTTCATGAGTGGGAGTACCAGGAGCTGGGCTCGCAGCCAGACACTGCGGAGGGTTTCAAGAAATTGGCAGACAAACTGGACATGGGGGAAATCGTCAGCTTCCATAAGGCCAAGCTGAAGAAAACGGGAGACACAGGAGAACATCCTGCCGACCAAAAAGACCACTGAACAAGAGAAGCAGAGTGAAATTTCCTAAGCACCTGGAGGATTCCTTGCCCTGTCATCTTCGAGTCCCCAGTCATGATGTGGAGGAACAGCCACCTGCAAGGTGGACCCGAGCCACAAGTTGCACTGTGAGCACCACCCCCTACTTCATGCCGCCTGTGGATCTTTGAGGGGACTCCCTCCCCATCAGACTACCAAATTCTCCAGCATGCCCTGGGGTATTAAAAACGGAAATAAAACATATCTCATGGCAAAAAAAAAAACACCTAATAATAATAAATGGCCATAAAATAAAGTAAACCCATTTATAAAAACTAATTCTAAAAATGATCAAGAGACACAAGAATGCTGTAAACAAGATAAATAGCGTATGAGACACAACAGAGGAAAAAACATTGGTGCAATTCTGATTCCAGCACATTTTTACCAAGTATAGTCCTTCATTGAAATTTTTTTTTTTTTGGAGGTTTTTTGCTATAGGGCACATGCACTCACCAGAAAGACAGAGACAGACAGAGAGATAGAAAGCGAGAAATCACCCCCCAGGGGAGATGGCCATGCCGCAATCCCTTCTCCTCCATTCTCCTCTCGGGATCTTGAGCACGCACGCACAAGCGCCCGGCGTTGAGTTTAAGTCACCCGCTCCGGGACTCAAACCACCGTCAGCTACATGGGAGTTCAGCGATATAGCCATGACGCTAACTGCTGGTCCCTCAAATTCTTTTAATGACAAGCATAATTATATTTATTAGATTATCTTCTACATTTAACAACAGAATGTCCTTAAATTATCCCATAAATTGTAAATTTTAGCAAATTTATTATAAAAATTAAAATATATTCCCACATATAAAAAAGTACATGCAACACACAAATTAATAACTAGAAGACTGAAACTACAAACAAAAAACTTATAAATCTAAAAGTATCTATTCATGAAGCATAATTCCTTTTCCATGTGCCACCCCATATCCTGGCTCAGGTTAAATGCTCCTTTCTAACCACTGAAGTTACAATACCCTACTCTGTTTCCCTTTATGTCATGATTATTAGAAAGCAGAATGGGGGCCGGCAGGTGGTACCATGG